ACTCTTTCCGCCCTTCCTATCTCTGGGGGCTCCTGTCAGCTTCCCCATCTTTGGGGGCACTCTGGGGAGACCAGTCAACCGGAACCTTTGAATTTCTCAGTCATGAAATCTGGCTGCCTTGATTTGTTCTTCAGTCCTGCTGTGATGTGTTGGATAAAGATGCTTTAAAAATGAGGCCAACAGAGCAGGTATGTTTGGTGGGGAGACGCCAGGCTGCCGTGGAATATCAGGGAGATGGGCTGTTTCTCCTTCTGTCTCCCGGCTCATCCATTTCCTTAGTGCAGTCGGGTGTCAACGGCTTCTGTGTTGCCTCTTCAGGCTGTCCCTGGAGAGAACCAATTTGCCTTGATTTTAGTGATACTGGAAAGGTCCGCACCAGAACGGGGGACCTGGGATAGGGTTGCCACTGGGGCTGACTGTGGTGGCCACTGAGTGGGCAAAGCCCCCCTCCTCTCTCTGCAGTGGAGGCCTTTTTCACATGCTAATTTTACTCGGAGGATTTTGTGTTTTTTTATTTATTTTTATTATTTCCTATTTGTCTCTTCCAGATGTTTTCAGGGCAGTTTTTTTGTGTTGTAAACTAATTCCATTCATGTTTTAAAAATTTATGAAAGCGCTAATAAAAATGTCAAAGTGGTAAAAATGTTAGCTTTTCCTCTGCTTTGATTAAATTTTGCAAACTGTTTTTGAATATTAAAAAGCACTCATTTTTTTTATTCTCTCTCCTGGCTTTCCCTCTTCTCTCCAGCATGTACGTGCTCTCTCCGGCCCTCTCCCCACTCTGGCGTGTTCCTCCCTTCCCAGGAGCGATGTATGAGGCGGGCTGCACAGCCGGCGTGCTGCAAGCCTGTTTGCACACCAGGACCTTGGTGCTGTGCATCTCTATTAAATAATGGAGACAAATTAATCTTAGAGACACCAAACAAATTGTCACTCCTCCTTCTCTTCCATTACGTACCAGTGGACTGGGAAGGGCTGGCTAAGTGATTGGGTTGTGGGGGGCAGGGGGAGAAGCTGAGGGGTGGGCGTACTGCCTGAAAGAAAGGTGGGAGGGCACTAACTCTTATTACTCTTATTCAGTTTTCCTCTTCAGTATCCCCTTTGGCCCCTTTGGCTTTATTTATTATTTATCTTTTTTATTTCCTTTTGTAAAAACTAATGAAACTCATCGGCTCTGTTTAAACTTCATATATGGAAGTCTGTGCATTAGTCTGATGGCTGGTTATTTATGTGACTGGAGACCCAGGCCCATCCCAGGGCAGGGACCTGGGCAAGAGGAAGGGGGTCCTACTTTTAGGGGCTCGAGTGAGCAGGCCTCTGCTAGAGAACTAGTTGGAGAAATCAGGGCAGATGTTCCCACTGTCTTCCCTCCCCTTTCCAGAGACAGTGGGAATGGTATATGTGTTGCGTCCCTGGAACCTGTGAGGATGTTACAGCGGGAGGGTTAGGATTATAACTGAGCTGGCACCATCTCACTCAATCTTGGGTTTGGCCTGGCAGGAGCTAATGAGTCCAAAACACTCCCCCATTCTTGACTCTGAGTTACTTGAAATGGTTAGTTATAAAAAACTCATTCCTCCTTTTCTGTGCCTTTGCCGTTCCAGGAAATCATCGAGTTCCCCATCCTGAAGCTAAATGGCCGGACCATGGAGATTGAGTCTACCTTTCACATGTATGTCCAGCCCGTAGTCCATCCACAGCTTACTCCTTTCTGTACAGAGGTAAGGGCCCTGGCTGGGCAGCAAGGGTTGCTGGGATGGGAGCTTGGGGATCACTGGTGCTCTATACAGGCTGCTTAGGTCTTTTCAGTGGTTAAGGCAGGTGTGCATTGGACCCAGTCAGCTTTTTACAAAGCCTGCCACTCCCCTTGGACCAGTGTGGTCATCGGGGGACCCAGGGAGAGCAGTGGCACAATCTGTCCCAGCTTCCGCAACATTTTCCCTTCCTTGTCATCCCTCCCCTTCTTGGTGACCAGGCACTTGGAATTTAGGAGCAGGGTGGTACCTCTGGGGTTCAGCTTCTTTTTAGTACCATTTCCCTTAGGGCCCTTGGCAAGAGGTGAAGATTTCAGCTTCTTGGAAGCAGAGGTTATGTTCAGGCTTTCTTAGCTTTCTGGGGATGTTTTTCTGTGCTTGAGCAAAGTGGTCCTGTGTGAAGCATTGGCTGAATTTGTGGGAAGCACAGCGCTATCACTGAGGAAAGACAAGAGCAGTCCCAGTGGGGTATGAGGACAGCCTGGCTGAGACTGAAATGTCCCTATCCTTATCCTAGGCTGGTTCTGTACTCGGCCACCTTGCCAACAGGTTAGTATGGCCCCATTTCACAGATTGTGAAACCGGGACTAACTGAGATCTTGATGCTTGCTGGAGGCTCAAAGAGCCATCAGCAGAGAGGAGGTGCCCCTGAAGAGTTTGACTCCCAGGACTGTATGGAGAGGGCTTCTATGGCTGCTTTTCCCTGTGGTGCATCGTGTTATTTACTCTGTGGTAGCCACAAGCTGTGTGTGGTGGAATCACCGGTCAAGTGTGTGTGGTAGAGGTGATGGGAAAACATGAGTGTTTTTGGAATCTTAAGCATTTGGGGTGAGAGTACATTAGAGACTTTGTGCCTTCATTTAGAGACCTACTTTCTTCATATGAATGAAACAGGAGGAAAGAAGTTCTTGAGTAATCCCCAAAGAATTCCTTTGGTGTGGAAGGGGCTGGGGAAGGGCCTGCCTGCACTGCTGGGGGTGCTCAGTGGGCTCTGAGACTGACTTAGCCCAAATATGAGTCTTAAGGGTCTCTCCAGGGCTGGATGCCAGTGACCCAGGTGGGCCTTTTGTTGTAGGCATCCATCTGCCAAGGTGTCTAGTCTCTCAAGCCGTTTGTTGTTCCAACCAATGATGTTGAGGCTCTTGCTTCCTCTGGGGTCAACTGTTTTTCCCCCTCTTTCCCCTGGGAATTACCTATACCACTAGGGGGTGCTAATCTGTGCTGTTTGCCCCTTTTGAAAAAAGTCATCATTTTAATGATGATGAAAGTCCCCTTCCTTATGGGAAGGGAAGGGAAGACTTTCCTTAAACCAGCCAGATACCTGAGCCCTCCACTGGCCTGAAAGTGTAATGTCCTCTTATCCTTTTCTTCCTCCTCCGTATGTGTGACCTCCCCCTTGGGGGCTCCAGTTCCAGCTTGCTGCCTGGCATAGACAGGCAGGCCTAAATTTGGGGAAGTTGCTACTTGTTTAGGAATGGAACAGAGCGCTGCTGGAACTCAGCCCTGGGCAGGAATGGATGATTGAGAATATTGGGAAAAGGGTTTTTTTTTTTTTCAGAGCAGGGCTGCTGCTGCTTCTCTTTTGGGGAAGGGGAGGAAGGATTGTGAGCCTTTTTAAAAATTTTATTTATTTATTTAATTTTGGCTGCATTGGGTCTTTGTTGCTGTGTGTGGGCTTTCTTTAGTTGCAGCAAGAGGGGGCTACTCTTTGTTGCGGTGGCTTCTCTTGTTGCAGAGCACGGGCTCTAGGCGCGCGGGCTTCAGTAGTTGTGGCACGTGGGCTCAGTAGTTGTGGCTCGCGGGCTCTAGAGCACAGGCTCAGTAGTTGTGGTGCAGGGGCTTAGTTGCTCCGCGGCATGTGGGATATTCCCGGACTAGGGCTCAAACCTGTGTCTCCTGCATTGGCAGGTCGATTCTTAACCACTGTGCTACCAGGGAAGTCCCGATTGTGAGACTTTGATGAAAGATGTTTCTTTTTTGTAGAAAGTTTCACCCAAGGACACACATACATAATTTGGAGGGTAGTAGGCTTGGTGGTGTGGGATCCTTATTTACGAAGCCTGCTCTGAAGTGAGGCTGTGGCTGTGCTGTAGGTATGGATTCTGCCATTTTGTCTCAGGCTTGCAGAGCTCAGAACTCTCCCTGGCCTGGTCCCTGCCTTTGCACCCAGCCTCGGATCTCCCTGCTTCGTCTCCCGCTCACTTCCCTCGGTCTGCCTCTGCACGCGATGGTCTTTCTGCCTCTGTGTTGCACCCACCCTCCTACTTGTCCTCCAGCACCCTGCTCAGGGTCACCTTCTCTGGGAAGCCTTCCTTGAGCCCAGGCCGGGCTGTGCTCACCCCAGCGTAGCACCAATCAGATACATTATACTGCAGTCATTTATCATCTCTCCACTAGATTGTGAGTTCCTTGAGGGCAGAAATTAGATCTGATCCATCTCGGTCCCATCCTTAGGACCTGGCACCAAGTAAAAATATATGTTCCTTGAGTGAATATTGTCAAGAAGTTTTTCAACCACACCTTGCCTCCCCTCAGAGTAGCTGTACTGCTGACTTGCTCTTTTGAGTAAGTAAAGTCTTCTTTGTAAAACCTCAGATCATCTAAATATTGCCCCATCTTCATACTAGATAGATTGTAATGCAAAGAGAGGCATCGATACGGGACGGGGCTGTCGTTCTGAGACCTCATCCAGTCTGGCGGTAGTTGCCTTTGCGGTTCAGGAGGGAGGTCATTATGGCCAGAAGGAATCTTTCATTAGTAAGTGTGAGGAACAAAAACCTCCAGATTTTCCTAAGCAGCTCCTCTGGTAGGATTTTCTCTCTTGCACAAGAAGTGTTTTAAGAACCCTGACCGTGTGTGTACATGCACAAGCACATGCTTGTGTTGGGAGAGAGAGGCTCAGTGCTGGGCAGCAGGAAGAGGGATTCTGCCTTGAGTGAGTCTGCGGCCCACATGTAGACACTCTTACTTGCTCTGTGTAATGAACATGTTGTTAGCCTTCCTGAGGTCCTTTCTTAGTTCCAGTTGATAGTTGGTCTGGAGACATGGTTCTGACAAGAGATAGGATGCGATGTG